TAACGCTCTCCTGCTGGTCCAGTTGCCCCTAACTGCCCTCCCCTGCCGGCCTGGTCCCCCCCAACTGCCCTCCCTCCCCTGCCGGCCTGGTTGCACCTAACTGCCCTCCCCTGCTGGCCATCTTGTGACCACATGGGGGCAGCCATCTTGTGTGAGGGCATGACAGTCAATTTGCATATTACCTCTTTATTATGTAGGATGACTTAGCTGTGCAGAGGATGCAAATGGTATAAGAATCAGGGTGAAATTTAGTTGAAAAGTCTTATCACTTTATTCTTCTCTTTTCTATGGCATTTTCCTTTTACTGGTAATAGACCACAAAAATGGGAGGATGGTAGGCTATCCATGTAGACTGCTTGTTTCTTAGCCTTTACATTTTATTGGCTATTTTTCTATTTATTCACTTCTCTTGGGACACTGATTCTTTTCCCAATAATTTTTCCATTTATATAAAAACAAATGTTCGCAAATACTTACAAATATTTTTAAATGTCTGCTCTAAACGGAAGTGCTCCTTAAAATCTGTATTATGCTTTATCCTAAGTTCACCCAGAGATTATGGAGAAGTTGCATGGAAAAGACTACATTTTTAAGTTTAGCAATAAATGTAGAATTTGAAACAGGGAAAAGGTAACAACTTTTTTCAACCTCCTTAAAAGTCACAAAATACCAAAAATACTGTGTTTTAGCCTTGCTATTCACTAAATGTGAGATCAATGAATTCATGGACAATTTTCATTTGGTAACAATGAGATTTTTATTGGAAACACTATACATTTTTTAGCATTTTTTAAATATATTTTATTGATTTTTTACAGAGAGGAAGGGAGAGGGATAGAGAGTTAGAAACATCGATGAGAGAGAAACATCGATCAGCTGCCTCCTGCACACTCCCCACTGGGAATGTGCCCACAACCAAGGTACATGCCCTTGACCGGAATCGAACCCGGGACCCTTGAGTCCGCAGGCCAATGCTCTATCCACTAAGCAAACTGGTCAGGGCATTTTTTAGCATTTTAAGGCCATTTAAGTATCAGTGAGTATTGAACTAAAGTATGTATAATCTTTCTGATGCCCCTCAAAGACTTAATTTTCGGCTTTGGGGTAAAAGAGCTTGCCTCTGACTTGAAATCTCTATTAATAAATATTTTTTGTGAGGTTCCCTGATATGAAGAAAGAGAAAGGATGCGGTCAAATAAAAGTTAAACTTTGTAATGTCTTATTTCTCTTCTTCCTATTAACTCCCTCCAGCTCTGCCAGTGAATACCACATTTCAATCACGGCCAACGAGACTGTCCCTGAAGTGATCAATTCCACTGAGGACATTGGGAATGAAATTAATATCTTCTACTTGGTAAGAACTCGCCTTTACATTAGTATTGTAAGGATTTATTTGCACATTTGTAAATTGAATGGAAGTGTTAACAGACACGCAGAAACATTTTGGTTCACCAGTTTCTATATAGCAACTCAAGGGGCCAAAGAGCCGCATGTGGCTCGCGAGCCGCAGTTTGCCGACCACTGTCTTAAAGTAATGTTCTTTATTTCAACAATTTTTTTCTGGAATTGTTCATAGCGTTGGAAAATGACAAAGAAAAAAATTAATTCTGGTTTTTCTTGCGTCAGGATCCTATGGGGGAGTGGAGGGTGCAGGACCGCGTGTGGTTGGCCTGGTGTGCATGATCGCCAACATCAGGCACCCGGTTTGGGGCTTGTCTATGATGCCGGTTCTCTGTTCAGCATCACACACCAACTGCAATCCTTTCGGGGGTTCAGAGCGTCACCCACCTGCGGGCAGGGAAGGCCCGCCGTCCGTGTGGCTGGACGGGGCGCTGCGGGGGGAGAAGGTCACGCCTCTGCTTCCCCACAGGTCAGGAGAAGCGGGCAGTTCCCGATGCCAGAGCTCAGGCTGACCGTGTCCTTCCCCAACCTGACGGCAAAGGGCTTTCCTGTGCTGTACCCACGCCGGTGGGCCTCGTCCGACGTAAGTCCCGGCCCGCGGGTTGTGCCACGCTGCTCCCTTCTCCGTCGTGTTTACAGCTTCCTGTTCCGTGGGCCCCTGTGACGGAGAACTTTACCAGAGGAGCGTGGGGAGGCACTTGGAACCATTGTAAATACCAGGAACTTCCCCCGTGAGCAGGTGTATTCCTTCCCTGCAGCTGCTGGGGTGACAGATCGCCCTGAACTGGGTGGCTCAGGACAGCAGCAATGTGTCCCCTCACCACTGGACGCCTGGGTCTGCCACTGGGTGTGGGCAGCGCTGGTTCTTTCCAGAGGCTGGAGGGGGGGTATGGCGGGGAGGGGGGGTGTCCCTCCCTGACTCCTAGACCCTGGCGTCCCTCACCTGTGGCGGCGTAACCCAGGCTCTGCCTTGTCTTCCCTTTCCTGTCTCCGCACAAGCACGCTCACCAGTGGGTTGGGAGCCCCGCTAAATCCAGGGTGATCTCAGCTGACATCATTATTCACCCTCTCAGCCATGCACCTATTTCCCAGCGCCCAGGTCTGGGGCTCGGGCGTGTCATCTGGGGTCACTAGCCAATCAGAGAGGGTTTCAGATAACTCATCTTCAACTTGTGCCTGAAATGTTTGTTACACCTTTAATGTATTGGAGGTGCTCAAACTAAAAGAGACTTCTTTTTAAATAATATATATATATAATTTTATTGAGTTCAGAGAGAAAGGGACAGGGAGAGAGAAACAATGATGAGAGAGAGCCCTTGATCGGGTGCCTCCTGCCTGCCCCCCACTTGGGGATCAAGCCTGAAACCCGGGCACGTGTCCTGGTTCATAGGTCCACACTCGTCCTCCAAGCCACGCCTGCCAGGCAGGTATCACATGTTTTAAAAATTCTCGCAGCACCCCAGCGTGCCCTGGCACCCCGGCAGAGAACCGCTGGCTCATGGGATAGTGAGTTCTACCAGCAGCCAACCGTCCTTTTCCGTTCCATCCTCGCCACGATCTGTTACAATTCAGAAGTGGCTCAGAAACAGGGGTGCTGCCTGGAGGTGGGTGGAGCACCGCACACGTGCGCGGGTGATAACTGCCTGTCGCTCACGGCCCCTTCGTGTCATCGCACGGATGCGTGTCCCTCCGCCAGCTCGCGCCGCCTGCTAAAGCCTGTCTTCCTCTCCTAGAACGCAGACTGCCGGCCCAGGGACCTCCAGGACCCTCTCGGCATCAGCGCAGGGAAGAGGACGGTCACACTCACGTCAGAAGATTTCAAGCCAGACACGATGCTGGTAAAGTCGGGAAACCAGACAAGCGCTCCCCCACCCCACGCCGCATGCCTGCCCGGGGAGAGAGTCCGTGTGCACGGAAATCATCTGCCACAGACAGCTGTCACCCCTGTCTTCCAGTGCCGCGAGCACTAATGCCCACCTCTGCCCTCCCGCAGGACTGCAGCACCTGCCGACTCGCCACCATCACCTGCAGCCTGGCCCCCGCTGACGTGAGCCAGGTCAACGTGTCGCTGGTCCTGTGGAAGCCCACGTTCCTAAAGGTGAGTGGCCGCGTCGCTCCGTGAAGTGGTCGTGCTGACAGACGCCGGGCCTTCCTTAGCGTGTGCAGCGCGGAGGCCTCGTGGGAAGCCCCCCAGATGGGCCTTTGAAAGGGTGCGGTCCGAGCCCAGCTCTGCTAACCAGCCACCGCGTCTCGCTTTCCTTGTCTCACCTTCAGGGCCCCTCCCAGTGTCTGCGTCTCCCCGCCTCCTCATCCTCGTCCTTTGCCTCTCAGAAGATAAACGCCTTGTAACGCCATTTCTTCATAGTGTAGAACTCACTCAGAGTCAAAGGCTTATGGAGAGACAGTGCTTGACATGTTAACAGAGAATAGCGCTAACATGTATGACGCATTGACTGTATTAAATCAGACCATCTCTGTCTATAGCGATAGCTAAATAAGTAGATACACACATTTATTATCATATATATATATATATATATTTGAAGAACTTTTTATCGCTAGCCCACCCCTGCCCCCCACCCTAGCCTTCACCCCCTTATTGCCTGTGTCCATGGGATATGCATATGAAGTCAAGTACATCTGACAGCAAACTACTTTAGAACTTAGTCCACTGTCTTTTGTAGTATTTGTTTCTCTCTTGGAAGTATTTGGCTCATTATATGAAATTTCCATTTTTGCACTTGATCATACTAAGTTGCTATTTTTGCAAGTCACAAATTGTCCAATGTTGGCTATTTGATGTCTAATCCTGAACACACCCCTCTATACACCTCGTCATTGGAGCGTAGCTATTTCACGCCTCACTATGCAAAGGGGGGGCAGGGTTTGAGGCTTGTTTTGCTAAGGGTGCACCTGAACAGAGGTGATTTAGACCACGCTCCCGCTCTCTGACAAGGCTCCGAGTGACGACGTGAGCGCAGGGAGGAAGGGTGGGGACACAGCCATCGCTCACTACCACCTGTTCCACTTGGATGTTAGCAAAACCCGCGTCTCTCTTCTCTCAGGAGCGGGCTGGGCGGCGAAGGGGGCACCTGGACGGCAGCGGGAGAAGGGTTGCCTCTGGGTGGGGGGCCACCGTGCGACATGCAGACGGTGTGTCGTAGAAACGTACGCGCGAAACCGACACAATCCTTTTCACCAATGTCACCCCCACAAATTTCGTGTAAAAATCTGTTATTTGGAAATAAGATCAAACTTACGGAAAGTTGCACCAAAGAAGTGCAGCACTCGCAGGCCCAGCTCTCGCTGCGATGAGCCTCACACACATATGGCAAGTGAGTCCTGTTTGCTTTGCAGATGCGTGTTTCCAGCTTGAATCTCACCGTCAGGGCGGAGCTTCGGAGTGAGAACGCGTCGCTGGTGCTCAGCCCCAGCAGCCGGCACAGAGAGGTGAGTGGGCTCCTTCGGAAACATTGTCGTCCTGCCCAAGTGGTGACCTGCTGTGCGGCCTTCGCTCAGAGCCCGGCAGTGACTAGTCCCGCTCCCCGGGGGCGGCAGACACTTTTGCTTCAAATTGTACTTGATCCACCTCAAGTGTGAGTCCAGCCTCATTCTTCTTAGTGAGAAACGGGGGGCTGGGCCCGGGGGGGGGGGGGCATGGCGTGTGCCGTTAACGCGCCACCTCTGACTCCACCGCTTCCAACTCTCCCCGTCAGTCGATGTGTTTATTTTCACCGCGATGACGAATAAGGCATCTGTGACTCCCGCCTGAACACGGACGGGTAGACCGCACGGCGCCTGCGGGCAGGTGCGGAGAGCAGCGCCTGTACAGAGAGGGTCTCCCCTCTTCCTCGCCGGGAACACCTGCCATTTCCCAGTTTCCCTCTAGTCACCGGGGCCCTTGGAGCAGGAAGGGAGCCTTAGTCCCGCGCACACACTCGGGCCTGAGCCCTTGGCGACAATGACAGGCTTGAGATGCCCCTCGGGCCCCGTGGCTAAGCGAGGCTGAAGCGTTGGCTACAGATGTGGGTCCTTCAGCATCACTCCCTCCCGTCACGGACGGCTGGGCTGTGCCGTGGGGCTTGCTATCAAGTCGCTTCGGAAGCTGCCTCATGTTCAGATGTTTTAACATTTCGTGTTTCAAAGTATTATTTTAAATAACTTAAATGTCAATGACCTCATAAATATTCGCCTTCAAAGAATGTTTGGGTACAACACATAGAACATATGCATAGAACATGTGCCTACTGTATACGCAAGTGCTGAGCGGATAGATGCGGGCTTGTCCCCCACACGGGGGAGTCCGAATTTCACAGTGAGCGCCCGCCAAAAAGTGTATTGTGTGCATTCTAATGGAAAAGTGTACGTTTGATTTCTAAATGTGTTTCGTTAACATTTTTAGAATTAGCTTCTTTCCCCTCGGTGTTACTTTAAAATCCCCCGTGGTGCTCTTTATTGCACATTTTTCCCTGAAGAAAAATGTCCCTCAATTGTTAGCGTTACTCAGTGACCATCTTGCAGTTGTGTGACCTGGGAGCAGGCCCGGTCCCACCCGGCTTTGGTTCGTGTCTGAATCTTGGAGAGTTCTTTGAGCCGCGGTGCCTGTCTGATGGGCGGCCAGTGTGCGGACCCCTCCCCGGCCGGCTTCCCCCCCCTCCGCTCTCTGGGGGAAGCACTAGAGCTGGTCCCTGGGGAAGGCACAGGCAGAAGCTTGAGCGGCTGTTAGTCGTCCATATCCACCCTCGATGTTTTTCTCAGAAACCGAGGGGGTGGGACGGGCAGAGCAGGGTCGTGGAGGTGGGAGTCACAGGGAGACCTGAGGAGCCGGACCTCAAGCAGCCGCCCTCCCCCAGGTTCACTTCGGCTTAGACCTAACTCACGGGCTCTGACTCGGTCACAGGGAGACACTGTCATGAGGAGACACGGTCACGGGGAGACTCAGCCACTGGGAGACACGGTCACGGGGAGACACGGTCACGGGCCGAGGGGGTGACGGGCAGAGCAGGGTCGTGGAGGTGGGAGTCACAGGGAGACCTGAGGAGCCGGACCTCAAGCAGCCGCCCTCCCCCAGGTTCACTTCGGCTTAGACCTAACTCACGGGCTCTGACTCGGTCACAGGGAGAGACTGTCATGAGGAGACACGGTCACGGGGAGACTCAGCCACTGGGAGACACGGTCACGGGGAGACACGGTCACGGGGAGACACGGTCGCGGGGAGACACGGTCACGGGGAGACACGGTCGCGGGGAGACAGGGTCGCGGGGAGACACGGTCACGGGGAGACAGGGTCACGGGGAGACACGGTCGCGGGGAGACACGGTCGCGGGGAGACAGGGTCACGGGGAGACACGGTCACGGGGAGACACGGTCGCGGGGAGACAGGGTCGTGGGGAGACACGGTCACGGGGAGACACGGTCGCGGGGAGACAGGGTCGCGGGGAGACACGGTCACGGGGAGACAGGGTCACGGGGAGACACGGTCGCGGGGAGACACGGTCGCGGGGAGACAGGGTCACGGGGAGACACGGTCACGGGGAGACACGGTCGCGGGGAGACAGGGTCGTGGGGAGACACGGTCACGGGGAGACACGGTCGCGGGGAGACAGGGTCGCGGGGAGACACGGTCACGGGGAGACAGGGTCACGGGGAGACACGGTCGCGGGGAGACACGGTCGCGGGGAGACAGGGTCACGGGGAGACACGGTCACGGGGAGACACGGTCGCGGGGAGACAGGGTCGTGGGGAGACACGGTCACGGGGAGACACGGTCGCGGGGAGACAGGGTCGCGGGGAGACACGGTCACGGGGAGACAGGGTCACGGGGAGACACGGTCGCGGGGAGACACGGTCGCGGGGAGACAGGGTCACGGGGAGACACGGTCACGGGGAGACACGGTCGCGGGGAGACAGGGTCGTGGGGAGACACGGTCACGGGGAGACACGGTCGCGGGGAGACAGGGTCGCGGGGAGACACGGTCACGGGGAGACAGGGTCACGGGGAGACACGGTCGCGGGGAGACACGGTCGCGGGGAGACAGGGTCACGGGGAGACACGGTCACGGGGAGACACGGTCGCGGGGAGACAGGGTCGTGGGGAGACACGGTCACGGGGAGACACGGTCGCGGGGAGACAGGGTCGCGGGGAGACACGGTCACGGGGAGACAGGGTCACGGGGAGACACGGTCGCGGGGAGACACGGTCGCGGGGAGACAGGGTCACGGGGAGACACGGTCACGGGGAGACACGGTCGCGGGGAGACAGGGTCGTGGGGAGACACGGTCACGGGGAGACACGGTCGCGGGGAGACAGGGTCGCGGGGAGACACGGTCACGGGGAGACAGGGTCACGGGGAGACACGGTCGCGGGGAGACACGGTCGCGGGGAGACAGGGTCACGGGGAGACACGGTCACGGGGAGACACGGTCGCGGGGAGACAGGGTCGTGGGGAGACACGGTCACGGGGAGACACGGTCGCGGGGAGACAGGGTCGCGGGGAGACACGGTCACGGGGAGACAGGGTCACGGGGAGACACGGTCGCGGGGAGACACGGTCGCGGGGAGACAGGGTCACGGGGAGACACGGTCACGGGGAGACACGGTCGCGGGGAGACAGGGTCGTGGGGAGACACGGTCACGGGGAGACACGGTCGCGGGGAGACAGGGTCGCGGGGAGACACGGTCACGGGGAGACAGGGTCACGGGGAGACACGGTCGCGGGGAGACACGGTCGCGGGGAGACAGGGTCACGGGGAGACACGGTCACGGGGAGACACGGTCGCGGGGAGACAGGGTCGTGGGGAGACACGGTCACGGGGAGACACGGTCGCGGGGAGACAGGGTCGCGGGGAGACACGGTCACGGGGAGACAGGGTCACGGGGAGACACGGTCGCGGGGAGACACGGTCGCGGGGAGACAGGGTCACGGGGAGACACGGTCACGGGGAGACACGGTCGCGGGGAGACAGGGTCGTGGGGAGACACGGTCACGGGGAGACACGGTCGCGGGGAGACAGGGTCGCGGGGAGACACGGTCACGGGGAGACAGGGTCACGGGGAGACACGGTCGCGGGGAGACACGGTCGCGGGGAGACAGGGTCACGGGGAGACACGGTCACGGGGAGACACGGTCGCGGGGAGACAGGGTCGTGGGGAGACACGGTCACGGGGAGACACGGTCGCGGGGAGACAGGGTCGCGGGGAGACACGGTCACGGGGAGACAGGGTCACGGGGAGACACGGTCGCGGGGAGACACGGTCGCGGGGAGACAGGGTCACGGGGAGACACGGTCACGGGGAGACACGGTCGCGGGGAGACAGGGTCGTGGGGAGACACGGTCACGGGGAGACACGGTCGCGGGGAGACAGGGTCGCGGGGAGACACGGTCACGGGGAGACAGGGTCACGGGGAGACACGGTCGCGGGGAGACACGGTCGCGGGGAGACAGGGTCACGGGGAGACACGGTCACGGGGAGACACGGTCGCGGGGAGACAGGGTCGTGGGGAGACACGGTCACGGGGAGACACGGTCGCGGGGAGACAGGGTCGCGGGGAGACACGGTCACGGGGAGACAGGGTCACGGGGAGACACGGTCGCGGGGAGACACGGTCGCGGGGAGACAGGGTCACGGGGAGACACGGTCACGGGGAGACACGGTCGCGGGGAGACAGGGTCGTGGGGAGACACGGTCACGGGGAGACACGGTCGCGGGGAGACAGGGTCGCGGGGAGACACGGTCACGGGGAGACAGGGTCACGGGGAGACACGGTCGCGGGGAGACACGGTCGCGGGGAGACAGGGTCACGGGGAGACACGGTCACGGGGAGACACGGTCGCGGGGAGACAGGGTCGTGGGGAGACACGGTCACGGGGAGACACGGTCGCGGGGAGACAGGGTCGCGGGGAGACACGGTCACGGGGAGACAGGGTCACGGGGAGACACGGTCGCGGGGAGACACGGTCGCGGGGAGACAGGGTCACGGGGAGACACGGTCACGGGGAGACACGGTCGCGGGGAGACAGGGTCGTGGGGAGACACGGTCACGGGGAGACACGGTCGCGGGGAGACAGGGTCGCGGGGAGACACGGTCAGCAGGACAATAAAAAGCCCGTCGGGCGACACATTCGCCAAAACTCCTTTATGGGTGGGCTTGGCACGTGTGCATTTTCCTGTGTGAAATTAGACCCGGTTTGTGAAAAATAAACAGATGAAGCACATTAGAATTACCAGTAAAATAACACTTGCTCAGGGTTTTATATCCAAACCCCATGGCGGCAGGCACTCCCGCCTACGTGGATGCTGCCGTGATGGCGCGCTGAGGTCTGTGACCGTCTAGACCAGTGATGGCGAACCTATGACACTCGGCGTGTCAGCATTTTGAAAAACCCTAACTTAACTCTGGTGCCGTGTCACATATAGATATATTAAAAAAAAAAATGCTGACACGCCGAGCTCACAAGGTTCGCCATCCCTGCCCTAGAGCGTGTTCCATTCTCCCCGAGTTACAGTCCCCGCTGCCTCGGGCCTGCGGGTCGCAGACAGTCCGGTCCGCTCTGTGCGGCTCTGGAGGACGGGCTTGTCATTGGGGTGACAGTGAGTGCGACGCGGTGGAGCTGTGGGTAGATGAGGGCGTTTCCCGTTGAGCCCAGCGCCTCCCGGGGCAGCCAGGAGCTGAGTACCTTGTGTGGCAGGAGGTGCAGCCGGGGACGCAGCTTGCGGAGTCCTGAAAGCTGTTCCCCGCGTCCCCAACCTGCGCCCCCCTTTCCAGCTCGCGATCCAGGTGTCCAAGGACGGGGTGCCGGGCCCCGTGCCACTCTGGGTCATCCTGCTGAGCGCCTTCGCCGGCCTCCTGCTGCTGCTGCTGCTCATCCTGGGCCTGTGGAAGGTGAGCCGCCCCCCACCCCGCCCCCCGCCTCTCCATCCCTGGTGTCCGCACGGTGCCATACGGTGCCACTCGGCAGTGGAAAACCCTGGAAGCAGAGCCGAGGCAAAGGAGAAAGAAAAGTGCATCTCAAACATCCCATTTTTGTAAAAGAAAAAAAAAAGATCCAAAAATCAAGGAGGGTCCCTTTAGAGCAGGCGGGACCTTCTCTCTGCCAAGGGCCGGTGGGATATTCATGACATCCTCCGAGAGCCGTTCAGAATGATCGACTTAAAAATTAGCCCGTCCAACACGTAATTCACTCACCCCGATGCCTTGGCAGGGCCAGGCCAAACGATTTCTCAGGCCTTATATGGCCCGCGGGCCGGACGTTCCCCACCCCTGCTCTAGCGGTTGGGACTATAGGGAATGTGTGTGTGTGTGTGTGTGTGTGTGTGTGACACTGGGCATTTTACTCTACGTGTACATGTCTTTCATAAGCAGAGAAGAAGGTACACTCTCTTGCAGAAGGAAAGCAAAGGGTGGGTTGCCATGTCCCTTTAAGGATATGTATGCAGTGGAATCATGGTTAAGATACACCTTATCCTAATCACACCCTTCTATATATCCTAAAAATCAAACGCTTACTTAACGTATAAACAGATATGTTACATGTTATGCCATGGTTTCGTGCCTGGCTGAGAGGTGAGGATTTTAGTAATTAGTGGACAGAAGGGAAATCTTTGAGATTCACAGACTCCTATTTCAAATCCTCTTGTAACACTGGTAACACCTGTTTTCTGCGGGTAGAGCCCTGTGTTTACCCAGATGTTGTGCTTAAACGGAGGTAGGCAGATTTTAAAACTCTTAATGTTTCATTTTTAAAGAAGCAGAACTGAGATGATAGCTTTTAAGATAAATTTAATAGAGAATAAAATCCCATAGAAAGTTGAATTTAATATTTTCCAAACTTAACATCAACTTGGCATTTACCCTATATTCAACCAATTGCGTTGTTAAATAGATAAACTGTATTAAAAATACAGATTGTGGATACATATCCATTTTTCTCCCCCCC